TAGAAAGGAATGAAAATACAGTAACAGAGAAAATAGCTTTTAAATTATGTTACGCCTATTTTAAAAAAAAATGTATGTAGCCGCATTCGAAAATTGAAAGTAGAAACCATAAATAAAAAAGATATTCAGCATTATTTTAAATTTGACTTCTTTGTCACTTCATATGATAGGTTCAAGTTTTGGTTTAAGCATTTTGTAACAGTTTTATGTGCAAAAGCATCTTCCAATCTTTTTAAAATTTCTCTATCGCATTTAGATGAGATGTGCAAAGAAGCTAGAGCTATAGAAATATTTAGGTAAAAGCAAAAAGCCATAGATAACACAGTAACATTTTCGACCGCGCAGGATAGTGCACAAGACTTTCAGCGTGATATGCAGATGCTAGTAGATGACGTATACGACGACAAGGGGGGCGTTTCAACATATAAAGATCCATTATTTTATAATGATTGTTATAAAATTTTTGATATAAAAAATATATCTTCGTAATGCATGATATTAAACATACATGCTGAAGACAAAAACATTTCATTAGCAAATGAAAGAAAAACATTATGTATATAAGTTCGAACATTTCATTAGCAACATTATTGCAACATAATGCCTTTACGGTCTTGGGTATATAGAGAGAGCCGGTTTTTGGCTAATTTCGAGGTGATGTCCCCTATACAGGATAGTGAGGTTAGGTTTTTCTGATAGGTTTTAGCGTCCTTTAAGACACATCAAAAATTTGTAGTCTAAAAATGGTTATAACACGATTTTAACATTGCATTCTTTCATTATTTGTAACGTACTTTTGCATGAGATTTACTAGCAATAACTAAGCATTTTTGGTTTTGCGTTCGTAATTAGCGACTTAGTATGTTTTATATGTGCACGTACGCTAAGATTACTTAAATTTAATACTTACTTTACTTTATTGTTATTCATTTCGCAATAAATTGTAACTCAGCAAAGACATTTTAGCGAAGACCCGAACCATAAAAATGTGGTTACTCAAGAGTAAAGATAGCCCTCTGATTACTTCGCCGCGATGTTTGAAGGTAAGTGATTCCTGGAAACTGCCAAATAGGACTTCAATAAAGTCTTTGAATATTTGCTTTTATAGCTGATATGATGGAGAGGAAGGAAGGGATTGTCAAGTTGGAGGATGTGGACGTAGTTGCTGTTAAGGCAATGGTTGAGTATATCTACAGCGGGATCATCCCGCTTACAGAGGCTAACGTCGAAGCGGTATTGTCTGCATCGGACTTATTTCGGATCGTCTGGATGAAAAAGGAATGTATCCAATTTCTCAAGGACAACTTGAACAAAAAAAATTGTTTTCGGGTGCGAAAAATCGCTGGTAAGAGTTTGATGGAACTCTCACAGATTTGGCTAAATTAAAAACGTTTTACTCTCTTTCAGATATGCATTCTTGCAAGGATTTGCAGGATATTTGCATATTTTAGATAATTTCGATGACCTAATTGCCGAGGAAGATCTACTCTTATTGCCATTTGAAGAGGTATTTAAGGAATCCAATCATAAAAGTTGTCCAACAAACGACTGCAATTAGTGTTTCTGTGTGAATGAATAAGTCGGTCTTTAACTTTCTGTTGATGTATAGGTCCGTGGATCTACTTAATTACTTAGCAATGATTTGTTTTAATGTCCTTTGTGCTGATAAGAATAGAAAATTAAAAATAGTTTTTGGAAAAGGAATTATTGGAGAGGCTTGTTAGCGATGAGGATTGGCCGGAAAGCCGGAAAACGGAATATGATTATGGTATTTGTGCAAAAAGATTCTATTGTGCATGGGAAGGATGGAAGGACAGTATAAGAAGAACTGGATTTGGCATGAATGTGTTCCGGATTGTGAACGTAAGGTTGCGACTAGAGTCACTTAATCCTCTTTTCGAGCTGTTTACCGTGAATGCGTCTTTTTAAATTTTCTATTTAAGTGTGTTTTTGATCGTATGCTCGTCTACATAATCTAACTTCTATATTTATTTAAGTAATGATGACGTCGTCAGTTTTAAACCAAGCTTTTTCCATAAGCGCGCCCAAAAGTTCTAAAAGCTTTGCTCGTTTCTCTAATAATTTTTCCATCGTATTGTGATTACTTCCCAATTCCGTTAGGCCGATTTCCTTTCCACATACAAAATGTATGCAGTTGTGTGTGGGGCAGTAAGATATTGACATGTGACTTGTTCTACGTATTTCCAGAAAAATTTTTTCCTTAATATTTAAAACTAAATTATAGAAGCAATCAAGTGATTGCTACTTTGTGCGTTATTCTGTCCATCCACCATAGTATCTCACTGGTCCAAACCAACTTTTATTCTGTAAATATAGCTTGCGACAAAAGCCACTTTTTTCACTTGAGCTCTTCCGTGTTGTTGCGTTACTTAGAACTTCAAATTAAGATCGGAGGATATGTCTATCAAGGTAACAGACTTTCGCCTTCTCAACGTGTTTTGTAGTTATTTGACAGCTTCATGCTATTGTTATTTCATAGATGAGGGCTCACGTGTTCTTCAGGCATTTGTTAAGTTTACTTATCCAGTAGTTTACATGAGTTCACATTTTAGACGATGTGAATTATGCAATTATTAGATCCATTTTCCTTAGCAAGGGATTCCATCGCAATGTTGCACAAAACTTTCTTTTCCTTCTTTCTAGCTCTCTTGAAGCCCTTTGCCGTAAAGGAATTAGTTTCCTATTACCGGCTTTTCTCATTTATTACTCAGCTTCACTGGACAATTGACAAGCGATTGCACGTTAGCAGAAGAGAAGATTACAATTATGGCAACTTACTGAGTATTTAGAGATTCCCTTACAACTATGAGTTTCCCATTGCTCTACTTTGCAGCGAATGTAAAGCAAAGCCAACATGAGGTAGGATTCGAAGCCAGATGTGAGGCTAGATATTTATTGTAAAAGGTTCTAAAGAAGGCGTGATAAACTGCATTATAAACGAGTTGTATAGGGAAACGCATAGTGGGATTTGAAATTAGAATCCGTCACTAGCCCACGACAAATTTCCGGTCTGGGGGATGTAGTGAGAAGAACTTTTAAATTCCTGAACCATGTTCGGTTCATCACCTAGCATACTATAGAGACATTTTTGCAACACAATCCAACCAATTATCTTACGAAACATAACATAAATTTGTTTTGTATTTAATTTCACATTGCACTGACTCGTGACTTTTTAAAACATTGTTTTCAGATCAAGGAATTGATAAAGGACGTGCAACACATAGTCAAACCTGAAGACATTGCTTATAATATATTCTCCCCAACTCGAAACTCTCCTACCGTGAACCCCCCTCCTGTTCCAAATAATGACATTTGCTTGACGGCAGGTCCTCCCAGAAAAGCAATATTTGTGTCAAGACTGGCACCTGAAACTTCGGTGGATAACATAAAAAGTTATCTGGCGACGAAAGTCCCATCAGTCAACTTAAAGCGTGTTAGCATCTTCCAAATGGCTCCTTCTCAAGCTAGGGCAATCTCTTCTTTTAAAATATTAGTGCCGACCGAAAACAGTGATATGTTGTTAAACAAACCACTGTGGCCGGTAGGATCCTTAATTAAGGAATTTATCCCTCGAGATCATTCCCGTAATACCAAAGCAATAGTCTTGGCGCCCATTATATCTCATTTATCAAAATGTTAAGGGCCTAAATTCAAAAATTCGTTCTACTTTTCTAAATTCAGTGAACACGGAGTTTTCCTGTTTAGCCTTCACTGAAACTTGACTAAAACCCGATCTTCATTCGTCGGAACTTTTTCATAATTCTTTCCAAGTCTTTAGAAATGATCGAATGAATCGCATTGGTGGTGGTGTATTAATTGCCATATCTGCGTCAGTCCCTTTCAATTTAATTGAATTTCCCACTTCTCCGGACGTTGAATTTATCGCTATTCGTGCGAAAATGCCTAATAAACATCTATTTATAACCTGCTCCTACATTCCCCCAAATTCTGATATCTCCATTTACAAGAAACACGCTGCCCTCATTTGTCTAGACCTACCGATTTGGTCGTTGCATTGGGTGACTTTAACTTTCCTTAAGTCACTTGGTGTAACGGTGATAATTCTGGCTTGATTCCTACTTCAACGTCTGATAGGGCTGTTGTGTTCTTTAATGAATTGTTTCATCATAATTTGGTTCACTATAATTGTACTCCTGATTGTAATGGTAGACTGCTTGAACTCTGCTTTGCCAACTTTCCTGAGATTAACGTAAATCGTTGTCCACCTTTTAGTTTACCTGAGAACCCTTATCATCCGTCAATGTGCATTTCCTTTCATCATAAGAACGATGGGTCGTTGAACTGCCTTAATGTGCCAAATCAAACTTTTTTCAATAAATATTATGATTTTCATAAAATCAATATTGTATTGCTAAAACATCGTCTTTCACATATGAGGCTTGATTTCTCAACCGGAAGTATTGAAAGCTTGTTGTCATCGTTCTACAATACATTAAATATAGCTATTGCTACATCTGCTCCGATCAAGCAAGTGCCGATCTCGAAGCAGGTGCCCCCCCCTGGTTTAATAAGACAATAAATATTACAAGAATAGGAAAAACACGCTATTCAAAAAATATTCGAAAAGTGGCTCTGCGCTCGACTATTTCGCTTACTCGGTGGCGAGGCATACATTTAACTCCCTCAACCATCATTATTACCACAGATACTTTCAGTTTGTTAAATCCTCCTTGTTTGCTAATCCTAAATACTTTTTTAAGTTCGTTAATTCCAAAAGAAAAATCTCCGTAAATCCCTCGCATGTGTCTTTTAATGGCTCCGAGTGTCCTCGGATAATTTTGAAATCCCAAATCTCTTTGCGGAATTCTTCCGACAGAACTTTTCAACTGCCAATTTTGATTTATCAGCAAACTATCCATATCCAATTTCTAATTTAATTTTAATTCCTAACTTTGTTATATCTGAAAATGAAGTTTTTGTAGGTTTGAGCCCTCTAAAATATAGTTGTTCGCCTGGACCTGATGGAATCCCCTCATGTGTACTTATACCAGTTTATTTTTTTTTAATAGAATTGATATTGGAAAATTCTTTTGTGGCTATTACACTGGAATACCGGGTTAAATGCAAAAATGTTGTGATCTCTCTTATAACTAGGAATCGTTTGCAGCGCCAGAATATACACCTACTTGTGAATAATTTAGATTTTATCGAGTACATTACATGACTATGTACTTTTACAATGTTCATTAGACCGTCTGTTTTTTTTTTTTTGATCGCCAAATTGGACTGATAAATGGCAATGCAACAGCCAAATGGTTTTTATTTTCTTCAAATTCTGCCTTATAAAAATTAAAAATAATCGTAGGCTATTCTCGGCATTCGCTACGCAACTAATGATGTTGGAAATTCTTATTGTTTTTGCATCAAAATTTATCCGCCATGATTCCGCTAGCATAACGAAATAAGCTGGTCGATGTGAATAACCAACTTGTAAGCGCCTAGGCCTAATAATATCGAGCTAACTACAAACGACGCTTACATTGGTTTGTGTTGTGTTTAATTAAATCTTAGCAAATGCGGATTAATTCTTAGTATATGTCTACTGCATGTAATATAATAAATTTCATTTATATCGCTTATCTCATACATAAGCATTTCAAAAGCATATACTGTTTTACATAATGCGTTCGCGAAGAGTAAAAATTTCAGTGAGATATAAAAAATTATACTCCATATCTTTTAAAATTAGTAGCTATATCCGAATCCGGATTAAAAAATAGTTTTTAACGGTAGGCATAATATAAACGTGTGTATGTATGTAATGAATGCCATAACATCCAATTTTGTTAAATACCTATTATTAATATATTAAAGTTATATATATTATAGAATAAAAATAATTGGCTTTAAATTTTTGGAAGGTGTACGCATGCACGTCCATCAACGGGTTAACCAAATTTGCTTAAAGTTGCATTAAAAATTTTACAAAATACCTCAGATATCTGCTAACGTTGTACCGGCCATGGAAATGAAATTTCGTTATCAAATTTTCAGCAGGCTCTCCCAGCAAATTTAATTGTCGATATACTTATATGTCTATCAAATTGTTTCTGCATGTAATTCGCGCGATTGGACAAGCGACTCGCACATCGAACGTCGCTTCTTGGGTTCGAACTGACTGCCTACTAAGCAAGCTCTGAAAATTTGAAAAGAGGACTCATCTCATATCGTAAGTTTATTACTTCTTTTCTTTCAATGAATAGTTACCAAAGTCTCCGATAACAGGCGGGAGGATTGTAATTAAAGGACAGGAGAAAGGGAGAATAGTGTTTGGCTACATTTTGCTTGACGACTACAACAGCCTTAGCAACAGTGGGCTTCTTTTTGGGTTTTCAGCTGTACTTGGCCTCGATTGCTTTTCCTGATATGAATAAAAGAAAAAATTAACACAAAATATTTGGACAAAAATCGTAAAATTTTTAAATGACTTACTTCTCCGCTAAGCATTTTGAAAAACGATTAAGTTCTTGCAGATATTTCGTGAAATTCGACGTCTGATATATCGTTAACCGTTCCTTCAAGCATATGTTTTCCTTTCTTCTTTTGAGGCCGCACACGAAAACAAACACTTTTGTGAACAATTGTAAGAGTAAAAGTGCTGCTCCGATCGATTGTATGTCATCGAGTAACACTCCTGGCTTTAACAAGAAAAACGATACCTTATTATCCCGTACGAGTTTGCAATAAGCAAAACTTTATCTTACAGAAGGACGGTAATATTAACTGGCTGAAAAAGCAAAGCAATATTTAATTGATTAACAAAAACGTATTGACGCATTTACTTGGAATTATTTTTAATCTTGAGTGGGTATGCTCAGTCTACCCAAAACTCTTGCCAAGAAAATTTATTTATACTCCCTGGAAATCGCCTAAATTTTCTTCTAATTCGTTTTCTTCTTTTCTCATCTATCCTTACCGGTACCATCAAACCCACACATAGACACCATTCAAAATTATGCTTGGCGCGATAATGTACATTAGATTATCAATTCCATTGAATCAAAAAAAAGATCCTCTTGCATCAATTTTGTTCTTCCGCGAAACTTACTTCGTACGAGTTATTCATTAATTTCACAAGGATTTCTCATCACTAAGTACCGTTTCTTGAATACTTTTGTCTTTAAGTATACATATTGTCCGTATTTCAAACGCAATTTGTTTGTATACTTACATCTATATATATCTATTCTTTTCTTTTCTTTTTACAATTATATGAAATTGTGTTGCATATTTTTTTTATAAATATTATATATATATATTATATATATTTATGAATATTATTTTGCTAAATTTGGATATGCTCTCGCTCTTGCCAATCTTTACCGTTCGAAAGTTTAAAAGTTTTTTTTTCCTAATTTTAACATTCACTAATTAATTACATGTAATTAATTCAATACATGTATATATATTATATATATTTACGCACATTCTTTCGCACAAAGTTTTGCGACAAAGAAAATTTACACATCTCTTTAGTTTCTTGGACTTTTCCTTGTCCCAAGTAAGAAGATTATATGCACTCGTTTAATACTCGTTTATAAGATTATTTCTTTTTTATTCATACAAATATTTGCGGCTTTGGATTTGACATTTTCTCAAAATATATGTCTTTTGTTCTTTTTTTTCATTTCCTTGAGATCTTGCAAGCTTCACTTCTAGAACCTAAATACCTCTCAGAGTCTAACAGAAATATATCAATTGAAATTAAAAGCGCAAACCGTTTTAAACCAAAGACAAAAAGCCAACAACACCAAACAAACTCTCTCCTTTAATAAAACTCAACAATTCCATCCCTAACGTATTGTGACACGCTCTTTTATAGTCGCTCGACGTTTTGTTTGTCTGATTGTTATTGCTGACCTAGGTATTCATATGTTATGTACCACATCAACATGCACAATTTTACAAGCTCTTTTCTATCGCAATTTTTACTTATATACACTTTCTTATGTCTCTCTTACTTATGTTAGTGCTGACCTAGGTACCAAATCGTATGATTGTGTAAACCGCGAAACCGTTGGCTATGTGAATCAATTATCTCTATATTAACTCTCTCAAATCTAAGAACCAGAGCCGTATTGCTGGCATGTATAGGAAATGTTACGGCATATTTATTTAGTATTAAATTATTTTTATTGTTAAGGGTTATTGTACGTAGGCCCAGCGCTTTACAGTTATATATGTTCCTTTCGTCAAATAACTTTTTCCGTAACTCGCCTGTTTACGCTGTTGCGACAATTGAACTTCTGATTGCTCACAACACAACGAAAAGTACATGCAACGTATGATCTTTATGCCGATTACCATTTTCCCGAATTTTGCAAACTTCGAAAATTTAATTTATTCGCCTAGATGCGCTTCATTATCGCGCATAACCTTTAGACACTAATTTCAGAACTAACACAAAGATGATAGAACATCAACTAACTGGAAAGGTACCGCCTCTTTGTGTGGACTGTGTATCATAATTAGAAGCGGGAGCAATACGCCTCCTTACAATCTATTTCACGTTGCACCTATATTTTGAGAATTAAGCTATAAATACAATGCGAGTGTATGTATAAATAATTACGATCTCAATTTAATTGACAGCTTTTTACTACTTTTGCGTCAGTGTCTACTTTTTACTACGTAGCGCTCGGTAAGTATTATGCGTGACCTACACCAATTATTGATATCAAGTAGATCACGTATGCGGTTGCATCTACGTCATGATTTTATTCTTGCACTATATTAAGGATTTTATAAACTTTTATAGCATCGTCTGGGCTAACATGATAACGCTCCTCTCTCTTACAAATCTGCGGTAATCTAAGTTTATTGATAAAAATAAAATAATAAAAAAAGGAAGGTAAACCTATTGTATTAGAAATATGCAACATACTTTGTAAGTACATTTCTTTTATTATTTTCTATGCCTCGATATGTCGGTTTATAACAATTCATTTACCTTTGGATAGGTATATGCTTATCTGGGAAAACACTTTATAAACATGCTGCAAACCTTCGAGCAACATGCCTACTATTAAGTGGACATCATATAAAATTATAGATCTTAGGTGTACATATTGTGATGTGTATACACAACGTGTTCACCAACATAATGTTGCCCTGTCAAAAACGCTTAGCGTTAAGGCTTACGTTTTATACCTCCTCTAGGAAGAATCATATTTTTCGATTGAAGCATAAAAGCGGATAGGTAGCATTAATTTTTGTTCCTCTTACAGTTAATTTTTATGAGAAAAATGCAAAAAAATTATATAAAAAAACCTACGTCTAGATTTCGCATGGAACTGCTACGCGACACCAATCAGAAAAGACCGTTCTAATCAATGCAACCTCTTTTGAATAAGTAAGAAATCTCATTTTCATTATTTATGTCTTATATTCTTCTCTAGTGTTCTATTTAACCGAAAAAAAGCGAAACATTTCTCAATTATGTAATGTATGTTTAAGTTGTGAGCCTGTTAAAACTATGATCTCGCTTGGAAAGAGTCAAAATGAATATAGAGCATTATGTATATGCCTATGTATGAAATAATGAGAATTTGTGAAATGTATTAGAATGTGTGTGTGCACAAGTAACCGTTTCGGTCCATGGTCTCATATATGACACAATAAGTATAATATAAAAGGCAGTTAGCTACATTCCTATGCGTGTAACAACAATCAACAAAAATTTAATGTGCAAACCTTTGCACAATGACGTAACCGTTAATATGTAAGTACATGATTTCGCTTACAGGAAGTATGAGAATGCTAACAAATATAAATATAGAGAATGTAAGATCATTAGGTATGTGTTTATACATGTAATATGTTGGAATGTGTGTCAGTTAAACCGAAAAATTTTTCGTTTATCATCCCTAACTGTTAACAGACAAGTGAACTCTTAGGTACATGATTTTGCCTAAAACATCAATAAGTGTAAACCCTAAGACAGTTAGGTATGTGCCTTTGCAAAATGTGTATGCTACTTATAGTTGAATATATATGGGAACGAAAAAAATTTGTGACCGTTAATCCTTAAATAATAAGAACAGTTCAATAAGCTAACTGTAACTTATTCATAAAAGAAGGGAGCGTTTAACTACATATGTAGAAGCAAAACAAAATATATGGTTCAGTTTATTATATTTTTTTAACTTTCATTAATAAAATTAATATGGTTCCATTCACATATTAATCTAAGTTTCCTATTTTTTGGGACGGGATGCATTTTCTCTCCCTTTGATCATTTCCTGGTTCCACGTTGGAGAAACGTGGTTTGACAAGAAGCATTATTTTAAAGAGGGGGTAAATAACTAGTTAAATTAAACAATGTACGAGATACGTTATCCGAACAGTTTAAACGGACATATAATATACGGAAGTTACCGAATTGATAACGTTATCGAAATGATTAAATCAACGAATCAAATAATTATTAATTTACCTCGTAAAAAAATTGTTAAAAAGTAATGACTTGCCGACTAAGTCCTCCGAATACGACAATCAAATTGTACTAATCGAATAAGTTATCCAAATAAGTTAGTCGTACAACTTACTTTATGGAATAAAGTGCTGTAAACATTCATCTCCTATGGCTAATGGAACTGTAATCTTTTATCAGCTTTCCTTTCATACTTTCTTAGGCCATCAATAAATAAAAGTGATTTTTTCTATCGACGAATGAAAACTAATCAAGTTTAAGACCTTGCAGTAGCTAATTACAAAACATATCAAAGCACTAGCATATCTTAGCCTTAGAATCATGTTACGTGTTTGTACATTGTCGTTAGACTTTCTTTAGATGTCAGTTCACATTCAAGATAAGCATACCATTTGCAGGCACAACATCGAAGCTTAACGAGATCAACAATACGCTCGTCACCGAAATTAATAAGAAATTCCTTGCAGAGATTCTAGACCTATTACCCGAGGACACATCCAGTGATCCTGCCCATATAAAATTAAACTCGGGGTTACATTATCTCGCGTCCTCGACAGGATTGTATTCAATTTTGCTCGTCAAACGTTAAAATATTCGGAAATAATTCTCAAAAAACGTTCTATAGTAAGTTTTTCTATAGCACGGTGTTCTTCACCGGAACGAAAGAAAGTAAAATACACTGAAAAGCACGCTGACGTTAGTATCAACAGTGACACATATAGCCTATACGGAGATCCTGCAGAGCTTTCTGTAGCTGAGCTACACATTCTACTAAGAGTCAAAAAAAAATATATGCGAAATATTCAAGCGATAATCAGTATTAACCGGAAAAATATATGGCTTGAGACAAACAACCACATTTCTATAATAAGCGCAACACAAACGGACATGTTTTAGTTACAAATAAATTTACACAGACTGCGCTTAGAAAAATTGTTTAAGAAGCTTACCTTTTTAGAAATGTTCAATGGACTTGCATAGACTTTCTTCAAAGTAATCCTTTATCGTCCCAATGACGGAATAAAGTTCGCATTATCCGTTGGTGTTTTTTACAAAAACATATTTTACAAAATTTCCGATCCGAGCTATAAAAAAATAGAAAAGTAAAACTTTAATTCTCTTATTCAAATGCTAGATCATTAATGAGCAATGAAGACAACCACCACACGCAAAAGGCAATTTATAGCCTACGAACAAAAATGAGTGCAGAATTGTTAAGGATTAAAAAGAATTGCGTGGTTCAAAAATTGTACTCTCAAGACGGAATAAATGGTTACGGGCCCATATTAATAAAAAAAATGAACAATAATTTTTGGAAAAGTTCGTATGTATATTAGAACAGAAAGCTGAGGTTGCAAAACTGGGCGCACGATTCGACTGTTGGCTGAAGAAGGTACCGAAACGTGAAACAGAACTGCCTATTGAGTATAAGCAAAATTTAGGTCAGTTTATAGTGTAAAAACATAGCAAACGCCGAAAAAATGTGTAACGCTTACGGGCCCATTTTGTTTCGCATTTTCCATCACATAAAAAAAAAAAAAGAAAAAGAGTATGAAATCATCACAGATGATTTAGCTACAACTAGCAACGCGACATGCAATGGGAACCAAAAAAATTTCCCGGGGTCTTAAATGAGTTTTGTATTCGAAAAGAATGGTTTTGATAGCTACTTTCATTCCGTTAAAAACGTAGGAAGGCAGACCATGCATTTAATGATTCTAACGAAGGGTCTCAGAATATCATGGCATCTATTTTAAGAGAAACCTGCACCTTTACTTACTCTTTGCTTTTGCTGCGCTCGTTCCTGCTGCTGTTGTTGCCGTTATTGCTTCTGTGCCTCTCGCCATTCCTCCTGTTGCCGTTACTGCCGCTTACGTTTCCGCTGTCCCAATTCTTGCTGTTGCTCATTTCGCCAATCCTCCAGTTGCCACTGCTGCATTCGCAATTCCCAATGTCGCTCCTGTTGTTCCTGTCGCCGTTGCTGGTGTTGCGATTGCTGCTGTTGCCATTGTTCCTCTTGCCGGTACCCCTCTAACCATTGCTCCCGTTGCCATCGTTCTTGTGGAGATAGTTGTTGTTGTTGTTGTAGCTGCAGTTCTTGCTTTTATTGTTGCGGTAGCTATTGTTGTTGAAGTGTCTCTTGTTGTTGTGGAGTTAGTTGTTGTTTTAGTTGCCGCCGTTATCGTTGCAGCTGCCGCCGTTCTTATCGCATCTCCTGCTGTTGCTGTTCTAGTTGCTGCTGCAGTGGTAGTTGCTGTATATGCTGTTTTCTTAGCTCTCGCTGTAGTTGTAGTAGCTCTTGTTGCATGTCTAGCTATTGTTGTTGTTGCTAGGGCATCATGACGATTTAGTCTTTTTTATTTTGTATTATATAGATTATATTTTAAATGAATTATCTGAAAATCGTAATGATGAAAATAAGAAAAATGAGGAAAAAGTGCAAATATATGATAGCGAGTAGGAAGAAGAAGGCAGAGACGATGAATCATAGGACATGTGTGTTAACGAACAAATGAATGTGGGACAAAACGAATTTAAGGCTACAATGAAGTTATTTGTAAGCTGTTTTCTTACCTTGCTTCTCTGACAGCACGCAGGAATTTCATATGAAAGAAGTGCTTGTAACTTATGATGTATTAAAAACGATATGAACAGTGGTTAAGTGACCCGACTTTGAAAACGATTTGTTGCTCATTATTAACCATTCTGTTTAGTTTACGACTGTACATTTTTGTGGACTTCGCTAAGTGCTAGATTGTCAAAGTTTTGGTGAGTGATGCATTAATTTGAGTACCTGAGCTTATGGGTGTCCCCACATTCATGTTGTTGCTGCAAATGAATGTAAAAATATATTACTGTTACATCTACTCTTTACATACGCACATTCATTTAGAAGAGAGCGTGTGTTTTCTATAACTGTGAATAATTACTGGTTTCTATAACTGTTATAATATTTTTATATATATATATATATATAATTGTTATTATATTATTTTTAACTAACTTCTTCAGAAATCTTATGCTTTTTCGTCACCTTCATGCTGCAAACTGTACTTTTCTAAAGCGAAATGACGACATTTATATTTTTGTTTATCATTTCTTTCAAATTTGTAATCTCTTTTCCACTCACACACTTTTATCAATCACAAAACTGACCGAGGAAAATTTTTTCTTTACAAATCGTAAGAACCAAAAAACAAATTCATGCAAATTTAGTTGTTTAGACACTCGAAACTTTTAGTTATTTAGAGAGACTTACCCAATACATCGACCGGAGTTTTATATTCCTTAAATGAAAATCCAAGTGGCATAATATTTATAATTTTGTTGGTCTTTTTTCTAAATTTTTGAAACCTTATGTTAACAATTTTCTAATCTGACCGCACACTTTGCACTAAACTTCTTCTGCCTTTCGTAGTCATTTTGCAAATAAGAACAAATCAAAATTTTATGCCAAGGGTTTGACAATTTTAAGTTCAGAGAATGAGATAATACTCATGTTAACTGTAAACGCAATGTTTTTGTAATAAGATTATAGTTTTAACTTATTATTATTAAAACGATGAGATCAATAGCAAAGAAGAGAATTATTGAGTGCAAATATGAGCAGTAGAATGGAAGAAAAAAAAAAAAATTAAAAATGGTTTCTCTCTCACATTTCTTAAAGGTATACATAACTTTAGTTATAGCGGCATGCTTAAGCTTGATAGTAAATGAAATCGACTTAAGGAAATCGTAAATTTTGACAAATTAATTTGCATTTATCTCTCTTTTTTTCGGCTGCGAAAAAATGAAATTAATTTTCCGCAAATTCTTGATCAATAACCTTCCCAACGGTGTACTGTGTTTATAAGGTTTTCTTCGAAAAGATTCTTTTTGTAATTTTATAAGTTTGTATGAACTACTGAATGAAGTTTAGATGAACTAATACGGGGGCAATGTTTGGGAGGGCACTGTGGTCAAACCATGTGTATCCTTGATTAATAACCTTTCAAACAACGTTTTCTTCGGAAAAATTGTATTAAGCGAATTCACATAGAATATTTAATGGCCGACATTGCCCGACTATACTTGTATTATATTTATTTGTTATGTAAGAGACCGCTCCGTTTATTATTTAAATATCTTCATAATAAGAATCAATATTTGGCGAGCAGAGTGGAAGGAAAAACTTATTTACTATATCCACTGCATAATAAATGAAAAATGCATTTTTGCTGGAAAGACATATATTTACAATGAAAACAGTAAAATAATGCCAGTTTTATCCAGCTTAAAATACCGCAAAATTAAAAATATTCATGCGTTTGTTTCAATCCGTATAAATTTTATGCAAAAAAATTTTTTTTACGGTTTTTTTCGCGGGCAGGAATGTGGTTTCATTTATGGTTACTTTTTTTTTTTTTGCGAGCTCAATGTGCATTTTTGTGGTATTTTTTTCTCAGCCTGAAACAATAATTATTCAAAGAGTAAAGAGATTCCGTCCGTATGTATGCAATTTTCGAATTTTATTTAATTCCTAAAAAAGAAAGCGAGAAAAACAAGCAAGAAAATTATATTCGGCTGTGACCGAATCTCTTATGCTTATTATCGTCATCCTTGAGCAAGTAAGATCAATATAGTCGATTTAAGCCGACCATTATATATCAAAAAAGACAAGTAAAAAAATTATATTCGTCTCTGACCGAATCTCTTATGCTTATTAGCGTTATCCCAGAGCAAGTAAGACCGCTATAGTCGGAAAAGGCGATCATTAGATGTCTAACACCAAGCCTAATGCCTAATTACAGTTAATCATTCGTTACACCAAAAATTACATGTTGCTGTCATGCAAAGCCGCATTTTTTATGAAAGCTCTTATATTGAAGAATACCCAAAAGATCATATGACGTGATCCAAATTTAGCAAAGTTAATTTACTTCTTCAAAATTTTATTATCTTTCCCTTTCCATCGTGGAAAACTAGAAATTAAACTTTCCTACCTTATAAGGACTTGTTTTCCATGACAAACTTTATATGTGTTGAGATCTAAAAAATAGATCTATACAATCCAAATTTCCTACCGACTATGAACTAATTTTCATCATAAAATATTAAAAATTAAACCCTTTTCGGAAAGGCTTACTATTCATGAGAAATCTTATTTGAGGTGGTGTCCAAGAAATAGATCAATCTGATTCAAATTTGGCACACTTCATTTTTATGTCAAATTACCAACAGGAAAAAATTTTGTTCATCAAACATTAACTATGAGCTCTTTTGGGGTCTACAAGGGTTACATTTCCTGAGAAATAGGCCTACGCGATCCGAAGAGAAAAATTAGGTTGATTTCTTTGTTAATTTACTATTGGGATCCAATCGTCATCATGAAATATTGAAAATTATGTCTTTTTACTTATGACGATTCAATTTTCGTAGCAATGGTTATGTGCGAGGGATTTCAAAAATTTGCCTCAGCTGAATTAAATTTTTAATACAAATGCCGAATACTACACCAGTGCACCGTTTGGCATGGTCAATTCGTGCCATGCTGTATCAAAACCGTGTTATACGAATACCACGTAGAATAACATACTTTGGCTTATTTTTATATCCACCACTGAAGGATTTGAAGAATTTGCAATTTGCAACACTCAGAAGAAGTTTCTAAAACCCACAAAAGGCATATATTCTTGATCAGCATCAAATTCTGAATCGATATGAGTATGTCCGTTGGTTCATTTGCATAATGTCTGTTTTAAAATGTAGCTGCCCACCTAAAAATTTGCGAAAACGTTGAGAATTCTTGCATACAAGTTGATATTGAAAATGGAGAAAATCGGTCGAAGGACAATCCGATACTGCCATATAAACTGAAAAATTACTATTCTCCAAAAAAGTTGGTTTTGTGCCCATTAATCATGAACTGCAACAGATAAATTTATAAAAATTTTAACACATATTCCATGGATGCTATTGAAGTCGAATGAAAAAATTGAGCACGCCTAGCCAATATTACAAGGTATCAAAATTTAATGGCAATATATTCATAATACATAAAGGTAAGTCTCGAAACGCTCTGAAAGTGTATAAAGTCTTGGCCAATTTCGAATTCATAATGCACGCAAGCATTTCCATGTGTCCGTCTGCCATAATGTGCTAAACATTCTTCCATTCATCAAAATGAGGATATCGCCCACAAATTTGCAAAAGAATTTGAGGATGATCAAAAGCGATCAGAGCACGAGCTTACTGTGAACATCTTTGCTTTTCGTGTTTTTTGCTTACTACTCGTTAATTTAGTTTCTTCATTTTTTTATTCTTTTTTGAGATAACGGTGATGGGTATAAAAGATTCGATCATGACCGATATATATACACTTATATATTCACAGAGGTACTTATCTATAAATAAAAAGGAAAACTTTAAGAATCCACAAAAAGATTTACCTACGCGATACCGAAACCATGATAGTTGCAGAACAATTTTGAGCGCAAACTTGCGCAAAGCAAGCATTTTCATAGGGTAAGCAATAGTGTTAATGTGTCGTGGAATGCTATTTATTACCTAGTTGAAAAGAATTAGAGAGATGATTGTTAATTCTAACTTTGAGTCTCCGATGGGACGTGCGTAGACTGTACCTAGTAATGAAATGTGAAATACTAAGAATAAATGTTGAAGTGAGTTATTCTATGAAGAATGAATTCATGCAGAGCAGTCAAAACAAAGTACGAAATAAATGCTTATTCAACTTGTTTTTTCTTTTTTTTTTTTTTAGATGATTACCAGGAGGATATCATCTATGTTCGTATGGTATAGGAAAGAAGTACACAAAGGGAAAGAGATATAAAGGTGGCCGCAGCCTAGCGGGTGTCTACCCAAACAGTGATTGCTATACCTACACCGACTGAACATTTGTCAAAGCTAAGCGAGCAAAGGGTTTAAGAAATCAGGAAGTCTGCTCATTCTGCGGTAAATGTAAGTAAACTCTATCGCAGTGACATTTCAATCCGCGAACACTGACTTGGCAGTCACGATTTTTAACCTTTTCATGACTAGCTAAGAATCACAACTACCAACAAAGAAATGAGTTTGAAATGCTAATAGAGAAGTTTATATTAATAATTTATGCGGCTGAAAAGGGTAATTTACTAAAAGTCAGCAAATGTTTTGAATGCAATCCCTGGAATGATTTTTCTGATGCAATAGGTAAGCAAAAGGTTATATGAAGAAGTGATAATATTCTGGTTACCACTAAACACTGCTTAGTTTAATGTGGTTTTATTAAGTATAAAATTGTTTATTTTCCTTCTCATTGCGGCCTATTTTCCATTCTTACTCTTTCATGTGAAGTTGTGTTTAATTGCTTGGAAGTGAGCGTCTAAAGAATGCTTTACAAAATACGATACTAAACAGAATTACAAAAAAAAAAGTGTCTTTTTTTTTTTTTTTGTATTCCATCCTCAGATACAAACTAAATATTTTTTTGTTTTGCATTTTCATTTTTTTTTTTTTTTTGGCGCAGTATCAAAGAAAGCAGGCATATTTGGTTTGGTGATTCCTTTGACGGAAAAGATTATAGAACTTCGCCTTTTTTGGGAGCTTAAATAAATAAAAAAAATGGCAAAAAAACTTCAACGTATAGTGAGGAATGTAAACGAACAAAAGATGCTTCGGAACTCCATAGAATAAAAATTGAAAAAAAAAGAGAAAAAACGTAATCAGTAAGCCACGAGATCATTATGTTCGTTTATGTTGCTTAGGTATCACTTTGACTCTCCTTGGAAAAAAGGCGCAGCTTCATTGCGGTAAATATATAGTCACCGTAAGATCTTTTAAACGTCTCTGCTCTCAACCTTGTAAAAAATCCCCGAAACACTACATCTATGCGTAAGTTTATTTCATGGACATCAAAACGGATGGCCTGCTTCCGTTCTTATATTGAGAAAATCTGATGAAAAGCCATTCCTCCTACCCCGTTTTCATTGAAGAAACTATCAAGGAAGGACCCCTTGCTTGTTATTCGCTTCCTGCGCAAGTCCAGCTGCTGGCGTTATTCTTTGGTCAGTATGTAAGCCACGATATTTTAGGCAGTCATTGATAGGAATATTATAACCCGTAAAGGACGGGAATTCTTATACAGCGTAAACCTGACACTTGTAGACTTTCCATAATTTATTTTAACATATCATTTGTTCATCCAAAGAGAAATGTCGTTGAAGATCATTTGTTGCTTGTAGGGGTGCTTTCATGGGATCATTAGAAGAAAATAGAATCGCTGTGTCATCATCGATGATGAATGTCACTGCGTATGTCGCAGTTAAAATATTGTATTGTGTCTGTCGTTTTCAACTTTAATATAAAAATATCCGAACCCGAACTGGAGGTCAGAAATAATAAGTTTTTGCTGCAGAACTAGGTAGATCTAGATGAGTAACCGAGTAGATAGGAGTCGTGGCCACCAAGTGGTGTTCGCGCATGTGGAGATAGAATATACGTTGGTAATTACCTATAGTGAGTCATTAGTAGATAAAAGCATGACACGTATCGATTGGGCACGCATCGACTTTCTCTTCTTTTCTTTCGCTTGCCTCACTTCGAATAAGAGACAAAAAAAATCTCGTTTTTATCTTATCGATTTTTAAAAAATGTTGCCCTTTACGTGGCACTTTGTTTTTGGAAAATAGGAAAAACTTCAATGATAAAACAAATAAGAACATTATATTCAAGCAAGGCCGCTCATTAAATACCCTACATCCCATTGTCTAACACAATTCTTATTTTTATTATAGAACATAAATATTATATCTTGTTTCTCTACAAAAGGAATATTTTTCATGTGCATATTTATGGGGAAACGAGGCCAAAACGCAACCTAATGTAGTACAAGTAGTTAATTTAAATAAGTTAATTATTGTATGAAATTACTATTATGGATAAATTTTCATCGCCACATATTCAAACTTAAACTTTTCTGCTCTACAAAGGGTTAATTTTAGGGTAGGATCCAGAAAATATGCCGACATGGTCCAAAGTTTCCATAGAATGCCCAAATACTATTACTTAGACACTTTTACTCAAAAATTTGAAAATTACAATTTTTTTCGATATAAGGACTTTGCAAATTACAGCGTTACCCAGGAAATGGTCGAAAAAGTGAGCCAGTCCGAACTATTTTCAATAGCGTTCGTCCTTGGGCCAAAACACGTCACTGAACCAAATTTCATCAAAATATCTCTAAAATTGCAACCTGTAGCCTGAAAGCAAATTTTGCATGAACAGACACCGGACGGACAGACTGGCTTAGATCAATTCAGATTATGATTCCGATGGGTCCATACTAAGTTCTTCTGCGTGTTACATACGACCGCACTTATGTAATGTACCACAAGTGGTGTAGGGTATAATTAAGTATGCTGAGTGTTCAGTACGTACCTCAATTTTTAAAACTCTTGGACACAATCATTCTTACGGAAAGTAACCTTTTATATGCAAAGAGATGTAATTTTTAATACATAGTTCCTTAATAATAAGTTCATAACAAGCCGTATAGTATAATTTTTCTGTTCTACGGCAAAAAGAAGAACTGTGTTAGACAATGTGTAGACAAGGGTATTTAATAGCAGACCTGGCCCGGTTATAATGTTTTCACTTGTTTTATTTGCATTCATTTATTCTGGAAATAAAATTTCATCCCCATGAATGGTTTAAACGATAAACAGAGAGAGTAGCGTTGTGCATATATATGTTTTTATACGACATATCCTGAGAGTAGCTGGGTGCAGTGAATCGATGAGTGAAGAATGGTGAATTGTAAACGTGCCATAGAAAGGACGGAAATCAAGTGAACCGTTTTCAGTTATATTCTTTTGCTGCTGTTGGTCTTTTACAAGCACTTGTAGCACATAACAAACAAATAATGCTAAAAGCGCAAGCGAAAAAAAAAAGGCAAAAAAGTGCCAAATTCATGCTGTAGGAGCTTGCGCCAGCGAAATGGGAGTAAGTGAAACGTGAATCAACTTTAAACCGGAAATGACATTTGATTTTTTGCCTTTTTGTTGTCTCTTTCGCTTCCCTTTTTCTTTTTTTTCTTTTTTTTTTGCTTTCGGATTAGGAGTGTTAGGTATAGGTGGGCAGCAATCAACACACATCCTTAATTTGTTTACCTAAAATGAAACATTATTGATATGAACTAATTTTTGTTGTAGTAAAGTCATCCTGCAGCATAAAAATTCGCAAGACTATTATCACTATAGTTGGAGAGAATAGGATGTTAAAGAAGAAAGAGGTAACATAACTCCAAAAATAGTAAAGAGAACTTAAATGAGAAGACTTGAATGATGACTTTCTTTGACTTATTTTAGAAAGTAAATTCACCTTAAATTGAGATAATTTCACTTGAAATCAGCAAAATAATGACCGATCTTAATAGTTACTAATCGGTATAAGGTATCTCGTCTTAATTTAGTGACTTTGAGATGCAGAATTTTGCAGTATTTTGATCACAAAATGAAAACAGTTTTCAAAACTTCACTTCTTATTTTCTATGTCGAATTAGTATTGTATTTGCGTACGGCGGAATATTATCCTTAAACTTTGCCAAGATGATATTCTAAAGTGTAAGAAGTTTCGGCCTCATTTTCAAAATGGAATTACACTTTCGACTGAATTGTGCGCCCCTCACGTCTTTTGTTAAAAAAGTCCCCGTGAAATTTTCTCTCTTATCTAATACATACACCTACGATACATTAACGTTCAGAACAATTGCAAGTCGCTTAAATGGAATATTTTGTAAAAACATGAGCTTCTTATTCTAAGTACATTTTAGAGACCCTATAAAGTATAAGTAACCTGACTAAGCCATGTCTGTCCGTCTGTTGGGTATGCTATAGGCCCTGTTCTACTCGCAAAAATGAAGATATCGAGTTCAAATTTGATAGAAACATTGCAAGTTTAGGCATGGAGGTTGCTATTGAAAATGGGCCAAATTGTTCGGAGCAGTAGCCCGCAGTGGAGCGTAAACTTTATTTTTCTTAATTAAAAGTTTGTGGTTTTTTGCTTGTTACTCAGAAATTATTATAGTTAGAACCCTGAAATTTTCTACATTTATTTTACGAAACAGTCTACTCTTTAGGCCCGAAAATTAAAATAATCGGCCATGCCTATACAAAGTTACAAGTAATTAATTTTTCTTGTTTTTACTTTTTTAAGATTTTATGCTCATCTACCATAAGGGAAACAGGACAGAATGTTTAAAACTATTTTGTACATTCCTCAAATGAGGATAAAAATGGGTTAACTGTAGAATGAATATGGTGGACACCGTGATTAATGTTTTCTTAATACCAGCGGTAGGGGCATCAAATAAAACAACTTGGAGAAAAGAATACGAAAAGCATAGTGATTTATATACGAGATTCCTTTGCGTTTGTCCTTAAGCCAAGACATATCGGATGGACCGACAGATGGGCAGACAGGCTTAGATCGATTTGGAAAATGAATTTGAACTAATCGGTATAATAAAAGCTTAAGCTCTTCTGCTTGTTACATATGTCCGCAATAACCTAATACAACCTATACGACAAGTGGTGCAGGATGTAAAAAAAAAATGGGATAGGTAGCAAATCGAGATAAAACGTCACCAATATTCAGGTTTCTAACTTTAATAATTTCCTAGTAACAGGCAAAAATCCAAAAATGTTTATTAAATACACTGATTTGCGTTCAGTTTATGCTCCACTGCTAGGTACTGCTCGGACTAATTTGCCCCAGTTTCAATAGCAACCTACATGCAGAAATTTCCAATGTTCCTACTAAATTTGAAGGCGATGTCTTCATTTTCGCGAGCAGAACAGTGCCTACAGCGTACACCATACAGACGGACAGACATGGATAAATCAACTCAGAAATTCATGCTGATCAGGAATTTACTTTGTAGAGTCTCTGAAGATTTCTTTTGGCTGTTACATATATTATGGGAAAAAATAAAATGGGTGTGCATAGTAACGCGAGACTGAGTCCAGGAATGTTTGCACGAGATAAAGAAAACGGCGTGAGATAAATTGCAAGGTATGAAATTTCGCATTGAATCTCCTTTACTCAACGCAGTAAATCATCTGGCATTGACTTGTTGACACACAGAAGAAATATAAGATGTGAAAGCAGATGATTAAGGTCATTACTAAATTTCCAATTATATTTTCCACTCTTGAACATACCAATTAAACTCCAAAAATTTTTAAAAGAATACAATTTTTGTTTACAATACATGCAAAATTAATAGAATTCTACTGGGAAACTTTAATCGACATACCTTAAAGCTAGTAGTACTGTCAGTTCCACAAGCGATGTTATCAACGGAGACAGCGAAGGTCGCCGAAAGGTAAGAGGACACCGTCCAGTTGATGACTTCCTTTTTCTACAATACAATTTATGAAGATTCTCGCACTTGATGCAGCGTTTGATACAACTACGCTGCTTTCTTAAATGTACAGTGGTGTGCAAGAAACTTGGCGCCATAACACGGTATCGCAATAAATAAATACTATAATTTTACCTTTGTGTAAAACATCGAGCCATGTAAAAAAACAAAGTCTTTTCGTTGCATGTTCAGGATCACTATTATTTATGTGCAATTTGTTCTCCAGACCGAGACGCAAAACAAAGCTTTATCTTTCTAAAAACTAAAAACTCTGTTACATCAGAGACAAAATGAAAGGCGAATATTAGCAATGTACTCCGGGATGTAGTACGGGTTCTCTTTCCACGACCGCCTTAACAAATTTGGTATTGAAAGCAGTCAAAGTAGGCGGTCAGCTTGTTGCAATGTGAATGCTTTCATTTTCGTTTGGATCAACTGCTGCAGACAAGAGCTATGATGTTCAATGATTCTGCCGCCATTGCCGAATACTTTATCTCTGCATAATTTCTACAATTTCACTGCCCGTCTCATGTGTTTTTTTTTTTTGAAATTCTTGATTAACAGCAAATCCATCTTTGCACTCTTCATAAGCTATCTTTAAGTTCGCCAGTGGCACCTACCATCCAATTACCATTTCTTGCCAGAAAATCTGATCTGCCGAACCTCAACACATGTTGACCCGTCTAACAGTCTAACAGCGAGAGAGATATTATTGTGCGCAAAATAAAAAAAAAAAACAAGAAAATAAACCGTAAGGTCATCTCAAGGAAAATTTTCCTTAGCAAAAATACGGTATAATAGTGAATGCATCATATCGAAGGAGGGTGTCCGAAATAAGCAGCAATATATTCGATAGATAGACAAAGGTACCAGAAACCAAACCCTGTCTCTGATGAACCGTATAAAATGAAGAGCCCACGCTTTTTGGGTTTTGCTATTGCTATGATTAACCAAATGATTGGCAACAATTGTGCCATTTTGGGTAAACTGTGCAATGATATCAAATCGTGCAATTTTTTTCGATGGAGAATGTATCCTCAATCCCCAAAAATGGATTTAATGACCTCTCCGCGGACATGCAGATATATTGAACCCAATGATCTGCTTATGCTCTACAATGACGATAGTGATAAATTTCGCTATGCGATTAGAACGGTAAATAATGCACATAAATATTAAAAACTTTGTTTTTTTGTTCGTTGTGGGACTTCAACTTCGCCGACGTTTGATGATCCTTTTTATAAATTGACAAATCATATTGTTTTTCGCTACAATGAATGCAGCCCACCTCATAAGTACATAAATGATAAGTAATTGGGTGAGAAAAATGGAACTTCTGTTTTCGTCTGTATCTGCTAAATAGCTGAAAACGAAAGCGAAAGTTAACTTTCGAAGAAGTGATCCATAAAAACGTTACGCATTCAGGGCTTTCGCAAAATTGAATACCTTCGTAAGCTTTGCTGCAGAGTTTTTTTCCCCCATATCGTAATATCGTTTGAAATTACTGTGATTGAGAAAAGTGGCAGCATTAAAACAAATCATACAAAAATTTTAATTTTTAATCCATGACTTGCTCTTTTCTTGTAGAAAAAACAAGCGATTAAAAAATCCTTATTAAAAAAAAAAACGAAAGAAAACGATATTGATAAAAATTGATTTCGCGCTTAGTAGGAAGAGTTAACGAAATTAAATATCAGGTGAGTATAAAAAAAGAAGTTTTAAAGGATCACACAAGTCGAAATCAAGCGCAGTTTTCCCAAATTTTGATTTCACATGGTTTCCAATAATTTTGTAAAATTTTTTTCGGATGGGCATAGAAGCCATCTTCGTTGGCTTCTTCTAATTAGCCTCCACAATATCCACGTGGCTATCACTATATTGAGGTGGAGCGCCAGTGAGTCCATATCTTTCCAGATGTCGGCCACTTCAACAAGCCGTGCATTGATTGATTGATGGATTGATCGACGGCTTTGTCAAGTGGGGCATTAAAGTTGTATATTGGAAGTAAAGAGAACAAGCCCGATTAACGATGAAGGCATTCATGCTTCAATTTTGCCTCGATATAAAAGAATTAAATAAGCCGCAATTTGAAGAGAGAACTTCTTGTTCCTCTGATGGTATGTCCAAACTGCCAAGCTTGTATTATTATTGTATGGATATTTAAGTAAGATATATTAAATTTCAGAAAACTACGAACTTTTAAACTTTTATAGGTTATGTTAAATTTATGCGTAACTGATGAGCCACTTTCAAGCCAAAAGGCTTTCATACTCTTTGCGTCTGTGAAATTTTACGCATTGCACTTAGGTGTTAGCATATCCTGCGTGATTAATTACGTAGGGAGGATTAGGTTTCCTAAATCCTTATATTTTGCGCTATGTTATGATGATTTGTAGTTGATGAAGGAATTTTAAACGGACGAACCCAGGGTAGATTTCTGCTAATTGTATAGCACCGTTTATGTTTCTGTCCTTGCGACTTAAGGAAGATGATAAACGGCTCTCTAACAATCTCTCAGAGTCTTTCCAACATTTTAGATGATAGGGGTGTTGATCTTACGGTTATGGCTATTAGAGCTATTTCTAACTTAAAACCGCGTTGAGACAAGATAATTAGTTTCTTGCGCTTGAAAGGATATTGAGTTGAGCTAAATATTACGTTCTTGAAACACATTCGATCCGAAAATCCATCTTCTGATTATCTAAACATAATTTCCTCAATTCATTTAGGGATTTTGAAACATTGATCGAGTTTTCGTGGCTGTTAATACGATATTTCCGTCAACTTTTCATAAACTCCATAAACTCTATTAACACAGATTACCGTTCGCACGAAGTTTGCGAGAAAATTCTGCATTAACTTCCATTCCAAGATCAATGGTAGATTTGCATAAACTGTAAATAATCTCAAGGAATGCAATATTTCTGTAAATTTTCATTCTGAACTAAGATATATATATAAATCAGATCTGTAGTAAAAATTTGGTATAAGGGCAACATTTAATTGATTTACAAATCTGCAAATTCAATTTTCTTTTCTGAAATCGATTTTTTCGAACATACGTCGAACCAAAAGTTGAAAAGAGAAAATGACAAATTGTTTAAATGAATGGTAGAAATTAAAAGTGAAGCCGCCGTAACGTATAAAAAATGGATCAAATCGTTCATTTGATTTTTATAGTAATACTCGTATGTATACAGACCCATCTACTTTCGAAACGAGTATAGAACATAATCCTTTATATTGGAGTAGCGATAAAGTATAGTAATTCTCAATTTTCATATGAAACCGTTTATTTTATTACTTACTTTATCAAAACCGCAAATAAACAATTCAGAAATAATTAACGAAATTAGATTTGGCTGCGACAATGTCTTTTATACCTATCACGGTTACCCTACGAAAGATTGAAAAGAAATTGAAAGAAAAAAAGAAAAGTAAAATTTATATATTCTATATTGAGTAGTCGTGGCTGATTTTTAGTATTCCCGTAGTATAGTTTTGTCGAATTTGATAGCGTGTATCGTGTGGTTGTAATGTATTCTCAGTTTTGGTTGCACAGACCTGGGGGCGTCGTAAGGGCATTTTATGACTTAAATGCGCAGGCGTCAAGCTCTTGTAAATTTGTAGGCGATAACTTCTTTTTTGCGAACAAGGGAATGTGTATCACCGACACTACATAGTTTGGTAGATGGATTAGCATACAGACAGATGGACAGACAAAGAGAAGGAATTTGAAACTGGCCAGGAATTTATGTTTTGAATTGGCTCTTGAAGCTTGCTTCTCCGCAATGTAAAAGTATTGAAAAAAATTTAAATTTTGATACATTATAATACTCGGTAGGCGCGGTCAATTTTACTTTTATGCTGCAGCATCATCCATACAATAGACATTCAAATTTTTGTAGATTGATTGGGTGCAGATGTTGAGTAATAAGTAAAAAACCAAATCTGCTCGCCTTTCAAAATCAGCTTACGCGGCAATGTAACCGTCAGTCCTCTGACTCCATTTTCAGTAGCAACTTAGGTGGAAGAACTTCCATATGTTCCTGCCAAATTTGAAATTAATATTTTCATTTTTGCCCTCAGGATAATGTTGGCATTATGCTGCCATGTTTAAATCGATTCAGAATTTGATACTGATTAAGAATAGATGTATGTTTTGGAATTTCTGAAACTTGAAACATGAAAATACCAATCATCCTTCGTCGATGGGAATGAATATTAGCGAAAGATGAATAAATTCAATTACTTAATATGATCAACCACTCAGATGACGATGTCCTCTATACGTGTAACACGGTGAGGGGATAAAATTAGAGGGAGGTTAGTGATCGCAACCTGTTAGGGTGCGTGACCAATCGGTATATGTCCTTACCTACTCAGCAGACATCACAACTACTTGCACTTGATTACAATGATCATAAAACAGTCTTTAGTCTTCACTGCATTTACAACTTTACAGGCATGCGCCATTCTCGAAAACCGATTAAAGTGAATCGAAACGTATTGAGGCAAAGCGCTTTATTCTTGCAATTGCTTACAGATTACTGGCCCGATGCAAAGACGCTTTACGGAGTTTACCTTTCACATATCCTATGAGAGCAAGTTTTTTTAAAAATCCCTTTTCTAGCATCTGTCTGGATGTAATTTAAATTGAAGGAAAAATCTATATTTAATCTTTAGCGTGGAACAATAATAATATTTACTAAAAGTGCATTTTCGTTCCTTTAGCTTCTGTAACTGTGGTGTTAAATATTGCATACGATTTTTTAACGACTTCAAATCCCAAATATTCGTATTCTATCCAGGAGCATGGCTGCTAGTTGCGTAGTTGCAGATAAATCAACTGCTGAGAAGAAACATAAAAATTCTGATTATGGCAACACTTTCCTCAACGGTTTAAATAAAATGCGTTTCGCTCAAAAGGTAATTGAAAAACTATGCAACTATCACTTATTTGCAAACTAACGTATGAGTATTCCGTGTCATAGCACTGCGATTTTGTATTGGAGGTAGGTCGCGAACGTATTAAGGTTCATAAGGTAGCGCTAGAGATTGCTTCACCTTACTTTGCAGGCATGTTTGGAAGTAAGTATTAGGAAAGACTATGAAATATACCACTTGAGTAAAATGTCTAAAACTTATAAATTTTCGCACTTGATATGAAAGAGAAAAGAGAGGGAAAGGTCAAATTGAAAGATGTGAGCATAAATGCGGTTAAAACACTTGTTGAGTACGTTTACACTGGGACCATCACATTCACGGAAGATGATGTTGAAGGATTGCTCATAACATCGGATTTATTTCAAATCGATTGGGTAAAGAAGGAATGCGAGAAATTCCTCGAAAGCACTATGAACTCGTCGAATTGTTTTCGAATATGGAGCTATTCTGGTAAGATTATGAGGGTTTTCTTCCAGATAGGCTCTCTTCATACATGAACATGTATTTATTTATTATCTTTCAGATATGCCTTCTTGTAAGTCGCTACGCGATGTTGCTCATAAATATATTTTGGGGCATTTCGATGATTTATTTGAAAGGGAGGAGTTATTATTGCTGGCATTTGAAGAGGTACGTAAGAAATTTGTTCATAAAAATCGGCGCCAACATGAATGAATTTACGAGTTGCATTCTCAAAACAAGAATGGTAAACCTTTATCGCATTATTCCATCCCAGTTGCCAATGGACTATATCTTACGAAACATGTTAGTATTGCTGAGCCTAGGTCATATGTTAAATTTCATGGTCTGAGGATAGTTCGACATAACGTTTGAGTAACTATGGGTACTTTCATGAACGTACCATAAGTCAATCTAAACTGATCAAATAGTACGGTATTAGGAATTACCTTGATGCTAATATTTAGCTAGAAGCAATGATTACAAAAAGAGTGATACATTTTTTCTTTTCAAAGGTCTTATCAATGTTTATCGTCCGCACATTACAACGTTTAAATATTTCGTGGGATATACGAGGAAAATGTGGCCTACCAAAGTGGAAAACGAACTCTATCATGAAAGAAACCATGTAAGCAACTTTGAAACCTTGTAACATGAAGAGGAACCTTATTACATTTCGAAATGGATATTAGGAATAGGTACTTCTACGAGTTGAATACTATTTTTAGAAAGTGCGCAAAGAACTATTTGATATGAAGAGATCAAGTTAATCGTAAAATTTCAGCCACTAAAGAGAAAAACATTGAATTGAAAAACAAGGATATTTAACTTTTCTTGATTACCGGATATCTAATGGGAGAACTTTTGAAGAATGTACTTATTTATCTATTTGGTGAAAAGGACAAACTAAAATATCTGAAGTGTATTTACGACTCATACCGACTCTCTTCTTCATTTCAATTTATTTCAAAATATTTTTTTAACATTCTTTGTAGATCAAGGAACTCATCTCTCGGTGCGTTCTGAAGACAGTGTTTATAAGACCGTCTTGAATTGGGTTAAATATGATCAAAATAACCGAAAGGTTCATCTTATAGAGTTGATGAGCTATATTCGTTTACCTCTTATCAGCCCACCATTTTTAAGAAATAATGTTTCTACCGAACCATTGCTTAAAGAAGACCCAAAATACGATAAACTTTTATTGGACGCCGCCATTTATCAATTAACGCCAGTAAATGAACAGATATGCGTTCCAGGCAGAGTTCGAACCAAAAAAGTAACTGAATGTTATAATGAAAACTTTCATGTGTTTCTCCTTGGCGGCGCAGATACGAATAATGGCTATTTTTATGTACACAATCGGTGCAAAGTGTACGATTTTTACCGAAGAAAGCTTGTTTCTATAGCAAATATGAATAGTCGTACGTGTAAAAATTCGGCAATCGCCTTAAATGGCACGGTTTATTCGATGGGTGGAATGTGTAGTGGTAGTAGTTTAAAGACAGCAGAACGCTATGATCCGATTAATAAGCGATGGGATTACATCGCTCCGATGGCAGAGGCACGAAGTAGATTCCCGATTTGTACTCACAATGGTTTAATATACGTTATTGGGGGATTGACAGGTGGAACTGTCGAAAGATATTCTCCTGCAATTGACAAATGGGAGTCATGTCAAAGCTTACCATGTTCAAATTATTCACGTTTCTCGTCTGCCGCTGTGGTAGATAACAACATTTACAGTTTTGTCAGAAATTCGTGGTTTTCCTTTGATCCGAGAGAAGGATGTTGGCGTACGCTGAAATTAATGAACAATGAAACATGCTTTAGGGTCGTCTCCTATGATCATACATTGTTTTGCATAGGGGACGGCGAAAACAAATATTTGGACGTAAGAGTAAATAGATGGGAATCAATGCCACCGAAAACCAAGATTGCACCAACTTCAGCGGTGGTAGCTGCGGATAACATTTACCTATTCGGCGGTATCGAAGCAACCAGACCTTTCAAGTTTGATTGTAGTGTGGAACGTTATAATATTCGCAACAAAGAATGGACAATCGTCGATTCAACGGAAATTGTACACCATTCGGAGGGAATTGTAACATATAATGGTTAAAATATTAAACTTTCAAACAATAAATTTACTTTACGTTATCGCTTATTTGATGGTTCGTTTTAATCAGCTGACCCTATGTATGCATAGATAATATACTATAGAAGGCAGAAACAATGCTTGGGTAACAAAGAAAATTCCACAAAATCATTCTTTGTCATTATCCGCGAGCGGAGTAAACTTCAAAGATAGGAGAAGGAGAAATTTTTCCTCAAAAGTGTATATCAAATTTGTTATTCACCTGACAGACCTGCTTATCAAGTATTGGGTTTTCGTACCCGCGCACACATCATTGCAAAAGCATTTTCTAATCGCTTATCTAACACGTCTTGTGACTATTAGAAAATTTGATTTCGTTCTTTCCGTATAGAGCGATTTGTGCATTAAGTACGATTTTTCAATCGGTATTTATGCCCCGGATTTCTATGTTTCGGATTTCTTAATTTGCAACAAGGTTTATAAAAAAAGTTAACTTACTTGGCCTGTCAAACTTGCTAAAGAGGAGGCCATAAAGTGGATACTTGCAGTTATTTTGATCAGCGACATCTATTGGTGAAACTGATGAAGTAAGCCGAACTATCAACGGTTAAATTCGATGATTTTGACCTTTCTCTGCATAATATAACAATTTTTCCATTTAGTATGGATTCATGGAACGCTCAACATTGCGTTTTCAACATTCATTACTTTTGTTTGATTTGAAGAAATCTGCTGTCGGAGCCCATCAAACCCTTACAGAAGCTTATGGTGACGCTGTTCCATCATATCCCAATTTTGGTATTTAGTTTAAAAGCGGCGATGTTGAAGCCAATGACAAAGAACGGTCTAGAAGAAAATAGTTTGCAAGATTTATTGGACGCGGAAGCCCGGCTCAAAGACTTCGGAAAGCTTAGTAGGTGATGAAGCAACTATTATTGGACGCTTACCTGCGATGGGAAAGATCAAAAAGAAGAGAAAATGTCTACCATATGAAAATGTCATTTCGAACTCACGATGGTCCGCGGTTTTACTGCTTGCCAGGCAAAAAAAGAAGAGCTTTTCTGTGGCGTATGGTGGCTAGTGATGGAAAGTGGTTTTACTACGACAATCCCAAGTGCAAATAGTCATGGGTTAGTACAGGAGAGGTATCCACATCGACATCGAAGCGGAATATTCATGGTAATAAAGTTTTGCTGTGCATATGATGGGATCAGGGAGGTGTAATGTATTACGAGCTGCTGAAACCCAAGCAGCGTATTCATCATACAGAGCGCTTTTTGATTACCACTTGTTCGGATCGATGCAGCATGGCTGTTGCGAGAGGTTGAAGAAGTGGGAAAATAGGTCGATGAATGGATCGCTGTCAGACAAGTATCGTTCTTTCGGGGGAAAAAAGTTGTTGAAAATGATGGATTACGTATTGACATATATATACAAATTATATCAATTTTTCCACTTAGCCAAACCAGTCCAAACATTACAATCGGACAAGGCCGAGAATTAAGTACCCTACACCATATTATCCAACACAATTCATATTTTTTTGAAATTACTATTATGGGTCAATTTTCATCATCATAAATTAAAACTTCGGCTTTTCTGCTCTACAAACGATCAGTTTTCTTGAGGGTGGTATCCAAATAGCCAGTCCCAAGTTTTAACACCAAATTTTGAAAATTGCAATATTCTCGATATAACAACTTTTCAGAATAGGGCATTATAGGAAGAATGGTCGAAAAAGTGAACCGATCTGAACCATTTTCAATAGCGTTCGTCCTTGGATCAAAAACACATCACTATATCCAATTTCATCAAAATATCTCAAAAATTGCGACCTGTTGTTTAAACAAAATTTTACATGAATAGGCAGCAGACGGGCAGAGAGGCTCAGATCAATCCAGATTATGATTTTGAATCGATCGATATAATAATAGGTGGATCTATCGTAAGAACATCTACAGGGGATATCTACAGTGCGGCTGCTCATGTAAAAACGAAATTTAATAAATGGATTTAAAAGTATAATGCTCTCGCAATTAAACTTTGCGGAAGTGAGTAATGGGTATTTGCGCTTATTGTTTATTTAATTTCGCGTTGGTCGAATAAATTCGATTCATCAAATGTATCCATACAATTTATTACAAAATTATAATTGGTTGCAATCTCAATTAACAAAAACGTCAACTATGCTATATGTGTACTCTCTGTGTAACACGCACAAACTTACGTCAACCTATTATATCCCTGCATTGCTATCATCTCTATACAGTTGGCAGATATCTCTGCCACGAAGCTTTGAAAAAAGCTAGTTTTGCAGTTAAAAATTAGTAAGAAAATTGTATTCGGTCGTGATCGAATCTTTGATACCAATCACCGCTATCCTAAAAGAGTTTTAAAAAAAAAAATTTTTCTTGTTCCATTATATTGGATGGGCGCGGCCGCTTTCTTTATATTTTTTCAGAATAAAAGCGGGAACCGACATGGTATGCAAGCAAAAGTCGTAAAAAGCAAAGGTATTTCTGTTGGGCAGGCGTGTGACGTGGGCCGTTGGAGGCGTGTCCTTTGGCAATATTTAGACTATGTCTTCAGGGGGTAATGTTTATCACATAGGGGAACAATGGAAAGACGAATAGACGGGCATGCTTATGTGCAGTCCAAATATGAAAGTAGCTAAGATTTCATAGACTTAATCTGGTTTTTGAAGCTTGCTTTTACGCGTTTTTAAACCATAACCGTGGTCGGCCATCGCCCATAGAATATAGGTTAAGCTTTTTCTAAATTTATCCCCTGTAGTTTATGAGTAATAAGCAAAACCATGAAATTTTTTCGCGTTTGGAAAATAGTTTACGAGGCAGTGTAGGCGCTTTCTTCGGCTAATTGGGGCCATTTTCCAATAGCAATCTACATGCAAGCAAGCATCTTCAATCTTTCTACCAAATTTGAAGCCAAAAGTTTCATATTTGCGACCAAAGGAATGTTTACAACAGACATTGCGCCTACGGACTGTGATGAGTGGAACAATGATGAGTGATGAGTATAAAGAGGAATTTTTTTGCTAAAAACTTGATAATGTGAGTTTTTTAAGCTATCACAGTTTGACGGAAAAACATAACTTAGATAAGTATATTGAGTCATAAATTTTATGTCATACATAACCTGTGCTATATAGTATACGTTAAAGGTTGTAGATAATATCAAACAGTTTCATAACCGCTTCTTAGACAATTCCTATCTTGATTCATCTAATCTGCGTGGTTTCAAAACTTCATTTTTTCTCGGTGTCATTGTAACTCGGCTGGATGTGTCTCCATCTAACATAAATGAAGAGAGTTCTACATGTGATTCTTTTGAACAGAGAATGATGAGACTGAAGACCGTTATAAAAACATTGGAAATTATAATTTCTGCCCATACAAAGCCCGTTAATTTTTGGGCGAAGTTACAACTAAGGATCAATTTTTATCACAAAATGGTAAAACCTTAAAAACGTTTGGAAGAACTTACTATTCATGAGAAATTTCATATGGAGATGCGTACAAGAAGCAAAATCATGTGATCCAAATTTAGTCCAATTAATGTTATATCAAAATATTATTATGAATAAATTTTCATTATAAAACATTAGAAATTAGGCGTCCGAAAAATACCTTTACTTGATCCAAATACGGTAAGCACGATTTCTAAGTCAATTTGCTATTATAATCTCATTATACATATCCTTACACTATTTTTCGTATAGCTTATCTTAGGTTAGTGTGGACATATCTAACACCCAGAAAAGCTTCAGATGGACCCACACTTTATTATACCGATCGATTCAGAAAATGATTCTGAATCTGAGCTTTTTTTTTTAAATTGTGCACAATTACTGTCTATCCGTCCCTCTAAAGCCTATGATTTCTGTGCGCCACTAACCGCAAAGATAAAAAAGTTGTTATATCGCTTTCTTAGCTGGCAGAAAAACATTTTGATAGTATATCCTTAACCATTTTAAAACTGTGATTTGACTTAACAATGTCCGTCTGTCTGTCCGGCGGTGTAAGGCCTATGGTTTTTGACTGGAAATGTGAAAAAATTTACTAAAAATAACTAAATTTCTAAAACTTATAATGATATTGAGAAAATGGATCAAATCGCGTGAAAGGACATATCTATAGTGCAATATAAATTGAAAACATGTTTGTTAAACTGCAACAATACATGCAATAGAAATTTCCACGTATTCCTTTCTTTTAGAAAAATAGAAACAGTAGCCACGCCCATTTACTATTATACAGTATCAGAATTCAGTTTCCTTCTTGTTTTGTTTCGTTCTTAGTTAAGTAAAGGCGTTGGGTATAAAAAATTCAGTCAAAGGCGAATATAATTTTCTTACTCGTTTTTGTTTGCTTCATCTCGAATTTCTCTTTACCCGCAAGCTTAAAATATGAAATACATAGACACATTATCCAGAATTGCTTTAAAAAATATTAAGCTTAAGGGTGATGGCAAAAGCTTAAGCAAGATTCTCTAGAATATGAAAAGGTTTTGCCAACTGAGTTAACAAAAGCAAAGCAGATTGTGTTTTTATGCCATACACCACATGTGATGCAGGATGCGAACGTATGTAACACGCAGGAGAGTTTAAGATAGACCCATCTTTTATTATAACGATCGTAATCCAAAATGATCTAAGCTTCATGATAAAAATTATAGCACAATAGTAATTTAGCATAAAAAAATTAACTCTATGGTATATGGACCAACTCGGCTTTCTGTAGATTGCCTTGTATTCACATAGAATACGATTAGGTTCTTCACTCGTCATCTCGATAGAAACTGCATGAATTGGTTTTAGAGGTAGCCATAAAGCGTAAATAGCTTGGTTTATGGTGATAAAGGAGTAACAGCAATAATGATCTCCTTCTGCGTCAACATAAATTATTTTACAAACGTCATACGTTGCCATTATGTTATTAGGCTGATGAAGCTTATGAAATTAAGTTATGGATCGACATAGGCCAGAAATTATTTTCAAAAATTAA